AAAATCGGTATGGGCAAATATTTTTGGAGATACAGCAAAGGGTTTGGTTTCCAACCTTACGAGTCAGTTGTCAAAGCATGCATATTTGTCTAGTGTGCACACAGACACCAAAACCTTAGATTTTTGGCCGGTTCTTAGGTATATGCTTTATTGGTATGGGAAATGTGTCAACGAACTTTTGAGACACCCTGTAAGTGTACATAGACCCGGGAACAGGGGGTGGGGAGCGGGGGCGCTCGTCCCCCTCCCCAACTTAAGAGCCGAGGGGGCGGCGCCCCCTCAACATTGAGGCAGCGACAAAGGATCTTTCCTCCCTTTTCCGAACTTCTTTCCTTCTTGTTTCCTTTATGCATCTAAACATCAACACAAGGCATTTTCCTTGCCATCTGAATGGTTTTTGCTGATACAGTATCGATTTGACAACAACTGCTGTCTGCTATTGTCATCCCGCTTTGGTTTGGGCCTGACCTTGGCCATTAATTTGGCAGGCAAGATTTTATACTGGACCATTTTGAGTCAACTTTGAGAAATACATAACGTACAACGGTGGTAAAATCGTTGCTATAGGTATAACACAGTTTACTCGCTCTGGGTGTGAGGGAGAGGTGTGGGGCAATGAGTGCACTGACGTGGCGCCCTCGGAAGGCCGGTATGGGATTACAGCTCAGCGACACTAAGGGCTTGTGTGGTGCCTTCTGTTATCAGTAGCACCCTCAGAATCACCGGCGTAGGGCCCTCAGAGCCGCCAGTAAGGGGCCTTTAGAGGCACTGATGTGGGGCCGGTGTGGCCGCTCAGAGGTGCTAGTGTGATTCTCTCGGAGGCACCGGTAACTGGTAAGGGACCTTACAGACGTTGCTGTGGGCCCTCATAGACGCTGGTGTGGAGCCGTTACAGACGGGTGTGGGGCCTTTGGAGCTGCTGACAAGAACCCTCTACAAGCCGACAGGGGGTTCTCAATGACCGGCAAGGAGCCCTTAGGTCGGCAGAAGAAGCCCTGTGGGGCCCTTAGAGACCAGCATAGTACTGGCAGACGCCGGTGGGGCTCTCAGAGTCACTGGTGTGGGGCCCTCAAGTCACCAGGTGGGTGACCTTTAGATGCGCAGGTGTGTTGGGTACTCAGAGTTGCCGATATAGGGCTTTAATAGGCACTGGTTTAGGCACTCAGAGTTGGGTGTGTGAAACTCTCAGCGACACCGGTGTGGGCCCTCATAGGCGCCGATGAGGGCCCCCACAGTTGCCGTTATGGGGCCCTCAGAAAAATTAGTGTGGGACCATCACAGGCGGCCCCTAGAACTGGCCCCTCATAGACTGGTAAGAACTCTCAGAGGCCAGTAATAGGCCTTTGGAGACCACCGAGGCCCCTTAAAAGCCGCAAGAGGCCCTCAGAAGCCGGCATGGGGCCCTTATGGAGATCTTAGTGTGGCTATTTAGAGCCCATGAGGTGCTCTAACGAGCCCCATGGGGCCCTTCTGAGTCAAAATATAGCCATCATTAACCCTCAGCGGCCAAATAGCGCCACAGGGTTCCTCGGACCCGAGTCCCCTTAAACCCGATGGGGGGGGGGGGGGGTACGGGTCCCCTTAGACCCCTAGCTACGCCACTGTTTCATATGCATCGTGTCAGTTATTTTATGCATGCTCCCCAACTTGAAAATAGTTCCTGGGCCCCTGTGTAAGTATCATTTATGGATTCAGGATGTCAAATAATGTATTATTGTGAAAAATTACCATAAAGCGGGATGTTAAGGGACAGTTTTGAGTTGTTTTGTTATATAACTCAAGAAGGGTTAGAGATAGAAGCATCAAATTGTCAGCATTTATGTGGAATTTGGTGCTTTACATGCCTGCTACATTAAAGTTTTAAAAATATATACCTGCATATTATTTTTATTATTTTTCATCACTGTCCCTCAGCACCCCAATGTGGGGTGTTAAGGGACACTTATATTATACCAAGAAATGGTTATCAAATGCCCGCAATTGGGGTGTGAAAGGGCACACAATTTATTTATTGAAATGTTTTGCATATTCTGTCACAAAACAACTCAGGTTAATTCACCACTAATGGCCTTGTTAGCTAATTACATGCAATGCAGTTTACGCTTCTGAAAAATGTGATTATTATAAGGTAAACAGAACCAAAAAGTACCCTTCTGTCATCAACAAAAACCCATTTTGAAGCTAGTCACTTTTCATTATGTTGCCCTCTTTGTTTTGGCCTTTTCATGATGACATCTCATTTAACTACATCAGTCTTCATTGAGCCATCATTGTAAAAGAGAGTGTTAAGTGAGTTTTGAGGTGTTTTGTTATATAACTTAACCCTCGCCCTGGCAGGGCATTTTTCATAACACGGCCTGGCAGGGGGGTCGATGCGACCCCCCCCTCGCGATTGGCTCCTATGGCACCTAGAAACACCAAATTTGGTAGTTAGGTGGGCCCCATGGATTTCTCGCCCCTGTGCAAATTTAGTTGCTCTAGGTAAATATTTAGGGGGTTTTGGGGGTATAAATGTAAAAATTTCGCTAAAAACAGGTCAAAAGTTTTTCGCTTATAACTTTTGATCTAATTAAGATAGAGCAAAAAGTAAAGCACCAGTGAACTCAGCACGTCAAGGCGCGTCGAATGATATACTTTTTAGCTTGCTTAAGTGTACTCAAAGTTTTTCTTAAATTTTAAGTAAACTTAAATTAATGAATTAAGTTCAACTTAACCAAATTGCATCATATTGCATATCATTCGATTTGGCTGATCACCAGAAACACAATACCATTTTTTAAGCTCTAGCGTCACTATGTGCCAAGTTATTGGCAAAAACGTCATTTGACCTCAGTTGACCTCATTTGACCTGACCCATGGATAAGTACACCAAACAAAGAAGCACCAAGTGACCTGCTGTTAAGTACTGTGGTTTCAAAGCACAAAAGTGACAGAACGAAGCGGATATCTCCAGTATTTTCCGAATTTAGTATTTTCCCATAGGCTTAACATTACGACGTAATGATCTCTAACTGACCTCAGGTAAGTGACCTCAAAAAAACCGAACTATATGTTATACAACTCGGTGAACTTAGCACATCCTGAAAGTTTGAAGGAAATCAGTCCAAAACTGTGAGTTGGACAGGTGCAAAAAGAAAATTGAAACTTGACCATGACCTTGTACCGGTTTTTCTGACCTGGGCTGGTGACCTGACCCAAGGTCACCCGGACCTGAAATTTTCAGGTCATATGTAAAAAGGTTGCCCCATCAGCTGTGCCAAATTTGGCGGCGCTTTACGCTATCTTCGAAAAACCTTAGGGGGGTCACATCGACCCCCCCCCCTGCCAGGGCGAGGGTTAAGGTGTGTTAAAGATAAAAGCATGAACTTGCCAGCATTTTATGTGGAATTTGGTGTTTTCCATGCCCACTGAAAGAAAACTTTATGAAATTATACTTAAATTTTATTTTCCATTTTTTCTTCCCTGTCCCTTAGCACCCCACATGCATCTCAAAATATGCATGTGTTCGGAAAAGAGGAAGAGGATGATGAATGAATGGGAGGATTTGTATAACTTTTCAGGAAACATGTGCAATACACCTTTTTGCACTCAAAATAGGCATCTTTTCATTCAATTTCGGCGAATTGCATTCAATTTTAGCGATCTCTCTATTCGAAGCAAATGAGAGATCGCTAAAATTGAATGCAATTCGCCAAAATTGAATGAAAAGATGCCTATTTTGAGTGCAAAAAGGTGTAGATGTGCCAATACACCTATGTATTCATTTTCCCTGTACACCAAATAGTTTATGTGGTACACGCAGAGTTTTGGATACGTATCAATTCTCTGAAAATGTAGCATGATTTTCAAAGCCATTTTTGAACCAAATCACTTGCATGAAAAACCATGCCATTTTGTCCCACAGTCAAAAACAAAAGTGTCAACTACCACACTCAAGTTTTTATTTAACCTTCTCAAATTAGGAACTTAATATGACTCAAAGTTTTTCCCGTGCAACTGTCCCTTAACACCCTGCTGTCCCTTAACACCCCATTTTACGGTATCCTTGAAATCTTCTTAGGACTTTATCTTGACATTTACCATTTCCCCTTCCTCCCCTATACCAGTCGGGGGAGGTTTGGTCAATCGTTGTCATTTTTAGCACATGCCATTTTTGGCAGCCATGTGCCAAAAATGACAACGCTTTCAGCCATTTTTGGCAACGATGAAGCCGATTTCACTCCTCAGCGAGGAAATCACGATTTTGGAAATACAAGCACTGATTTTGGAAAAGAAGTGCTGCCACCTGGTGCAAAAAGAATAACCCAGCTTTAATATGGCCGTTGTTTGTATGGTAGTCCAACATTGACGTATACCCTCTTTGGTGGCCTGAAGTTGGAACTTCAATTTGCAGCATCCGAAAATGACCAATATTGATCGAACACATAATTTTGATGAAAAAAGAATATGTTAAGTTGAAAGAGGAGGCGATTTCATCCAGATGCGGTGGTTTACCTACTTCTTTGAATTGTTTTTGTTTATGACAACCGCCATGTAATGACGGATGATGTGCGGCCGTCAATTACCTAGCAAAAATAATTTCAAGAAGTAAACCACCGCATCTGGATAAAATGACCTCCTCTCTCAACTTAACATATTATTTTTTCATCAACATCATGTTTTCGATCAATATCGATCATTTTCGGATGCTTCAATTCAAATTTTAAGTTCCAACTTCAGGCCACAAAACAAACTACCATACAAAGGGCATATTAAGCTGGCTTTCTTCTTGCACCAGGTGGCAGCACTTCTTTTCTAAAATCAGTCCTTATCTTTCCAAAATTGTGATTTCCTTGCTGAGGAGTGAAATCAGCTTCATCGTTGTAAAAAATAGCAGAACCGTTGCCATTTTTGGTACATGTGATAAAAATAGCACATGCTAAAACTGACGATTGACGAAACCTCCCCTAATACATCAATCATCAATCTAAATAACAAAAAAGATATACCTAGGCACCTACCTTGTTATACAGCTCCAGAGAAGGTCAGGAAAAAAACGGTATTCACCAAATCGAATTCAATAAATCATTTACAATCTCGCAGCAATCATGCACCTACAAACAAATTGGAATCAGGGTATGTCATTGAAAAAATGTTAACTGATAGTTGCCGCTGAGTAGAGGCTGTTTGGTTGTTAGGTCAAGGCAATACCAAGATACCTTAAACCTAAAACAAGGCTATAGAACTAAGTCTAAACGGTCTAAACGGCAGTACCGCGCGTACGGCGTACCGCGCGCGCTTTCTAATAATGTTATGCGTCGTATTCGCAGCATTCGCCGCGAACGATGAAAGCGCCAAGGTCGGCTAATGCCACGTCCGTCCACTGAGCAGCCAATTGATATTCGCGAATATCTAACTAAGAATTTGATAATCGGACGGAGAGCGCAATAACTCAGAAATCAATGTACTGATTTTGATAAATAGACCCTCATTTGTTTTCCCGTTCCTCGATGCAGGTTAGCAGCGATTCTCATGTCAATGAGTCATGACCTTCAAGGTCAAGTTCAAGGTCAAAGGACGGGGAACGCTTTACGGCCTAAACTAACTGTTCGATTGGCTCGCAAATGGTCTTAATCAATACGGTGACCCCGACCCCAGGCAGACAGCGATTTCCAGGTCACTGGGTCATGATCTTCATGTCAAAATCAAGTTCACCCAGTAAACATGCCGACGTCGGCCCGACATCGGCTGGACGTCGGATATGCCCGCATGTTCCGACGTCCAGCCGAAGTCCAGCCGACGTCGAGCCGACGTCGGGCCAAGGTCGTTTGCCGAGGTTGACGAGATCGTTTGTCGTTGGACCGACGGGGCCGACGTCGGCATGTTTATTGGGACAACGCGCCAAAGATATCAACCGGCGGCGGGATTCAAGCCCCCCAGTCGCCGACGTCGGCATGTTTACTGGCACAACACGCCAAAAGCATCATCCGGCGATGGGATTCGAACCCCGTGTCATTTAAACGCGAGGTTAGTGCGCTAACCACTACACCACGCAGCCAGATGGCGAGTTTAGTTTGATTTGTTGGGTTATGCCCTTTCGGTCTGACAAGACCATTTCAGAGCCGGAAGGATGATAGGATGGAGACATTGGTCTTCTTGGCGAGCACCCTGGGTCCAGCTCATATAGAGTCCCTGGTCCCATTGCTGTTAGGTGACACTTATTGGAAAGGGCAACCCCACAATGGATTCATATTACATATAGGTAGCCACTCTTACACACCTGCACCAACGTTTCCCAAAGTGTCCCTTTGATATAAAGTGGCACTTTGGCAAAGTGACACTTGCCGACTGGCCTTTCTATATGAACTGGACCCGGCCCTGGTGAGTTGCCGTGGCTAAGCCTGACCAAAGGATAGGCCGAGCAGCCCCCAAGCACTCACCGCACCCGGCTACGGGCGAGCTCGGCTTACGGGCAATCCCAAATGAGATAAAGTTTCCCGTCCAGTCCGGATCAGGGGGTTGCGCCGTGGAGGAAGATTTGAGTTTCCTGAGGATATTTTGAATACAGAAGCTCTTTATGAAACATGAAACATGTATTTTATATTATTTTAACGGTCAAAACAGCGGCCGATGTCGGTTCGACGTCGCCCCGACGTCGGCCTGACGTCGGCTTGACCTCAGCAATTGATCTCGGTCCGACGTCGGCCCGACGTCGGCCGGACCTCGGCTGGACGTCGGTACATGCGGGCATATCCGACATCCAGCCGACGTCGTGCCGAGGTTGGACCGACGTCGGGCCGACGTCGGCATGCCGATGCCGAGTTGCCGACGTCACCCCGATGTCGGCCGACGTCGGGCCGACGTCGGCATGTTTACTGGGCATTTAACTAACAATTTGATATTCGGACGGGGAACGCAAGAACTCAGAAACCAATCAACTGACAACTGATGTTGATGAATAGACCCTCATTCGATTTTCCATTCCTCAATGTAGTTTCACAGATGTCCGTGAAGATAGCCAACATCCAACACAGCAGAATTTGCAACGTTGAGCTATCTATAGCCATAAAAACTGGGTTGTAGGTCAACTCGACCACGCTGGTCATGAATATAACCCTTAAAATTCCATTAAATGAATGGAAACCCCCAAAATAAAAAAAAACAAAACAAAAAAATGACAGTGTAGGGGAGAGCGGGGAGAGTTGTATCATGTCCAAGTTGTATCAGGGCGAATTGTGCCAAACTTATCCAATGGATAGCGCTCGCGACACGACCAGCCGACGAGGTTTTCCGGGCGCCATCTTTCCCTGTTCTGTCTTGTGGCTGAGTGGAAGCGTCTCGAGGTGAGAGCCGATTTTATGTTTTTTTTTAATGTCATCCTAAAAAAATAAGTTGCAAGAAAATGTGTGTTTTGGGCATTAAGATGTGCACGAATTTGAAAGATCTCCGTAGCGGTGGTGAGGGTAGTTTCTAAGGCTGCGCGAGTGAAAACGGATTTCTCCAGCTGTCCGCTGTTTTTTTAGCACGAGGATGTTTTTTCCAAGATGGCGGCTAGGTACATGTTGTATCAGAGCCGGGTGGGGTATGTTGTAACATGTATGTGTGTATGTATGTATGGGTATGTTGCTTTTGATCGCGAAAGCTAAGCCCTGGGTCGCGTTTGTAGGTAGCTAGTCAATGCTCGTTCCATTTCGGCACAATGTGTTGGCTTCTTTGCTCTTAACGAGCCACTTTTGCGTCTAGTCTGTTGATGTTTCGTTCGGATTGCATTGACCTAAGTTTGGTCTAATAAAGTGAAGCCTTTGAGCATACCTATACATTGTATTAGCCCCATTTAATGTTGTTGTTATGTTCAAAAACCAGAAGCAAGCACACTCCCTGAAACGTGAAATAGTGATACAAATTACCCCACCATGTGATACAACTCACCCAAGCCATGGGGCAAGTTGTATCAAAAACATTGTTCTATTCGGCAGACCGTAGAAGAAAAACTGGTAGAGGTAGCGGAAAAGTTACCTTGCACAAAAAAGCAGAAGAATCAAGGAAGGGGATAGTATGGAAATAATGACTTTATCACGGATACTTACGAGGTTATGGGTCTCGGAGTAAAAACTGATACAACCCACCCCACTCTCCCCTACCTTTTTTTCGGAAAAAAACGGTGCATTGCACGGCGTTGCGCAGGGGCGCAGGAGCTAGGTAAGTACTTTCAGACTGGGGGGGCACACCATGATAGAGATCAACCTAGGGTACCGCCAAATTTAGTTTTCTCGCCGGTTTTAGGCCACTTATTTTTCATCCCTTGGCTTTTTCAACGAAAAAGAAAACATTTGCAAAAAAAGGGCGGTATTCCGTCTTAAAGTTGTGGGGGCACCGCCCCCACGGCCCTTAACCCTCGCCGGCCGAGGGGGGGGGGGGGCGGGTGCCGCCCCCCATAGGGTTTTTTTCGCGATAGCTCCGAACACGCTGGCGATAGAGAGCTGAAACTTGGCATACCTGACCTTTGATCCAAGCCGGATCTTTCGACACCAACCGCATTTTTTTGGGTCAGGTCAGGTCACTGACCTATGACGTCATAAGTGAACCTCTGCACGGTCTTCAGATGTCGCAACTTCGCTGCCAGAGGAGATGTCACAGGGAAATGAAACTTGCAGGATCTAGTATCCATTATGAGTCCCACAACTTGTATATCTCGGATTTTTCCTAAAGGTCATATGAGGTCAGGTCATTTTCGTGACCTCACCATTATAAGTCAATGGGGAAAAATGAAAACTGCTATTCTGGCGCCGGGAACGATCTCCAACTATCTCAAGCACACAGAATCGTAATTTGATGCACTCCTTGCAAGGTTAGATGCGTCACTTTTGCAATGTTGACCTTGCGTGACGTCATTTATGACGTCATCAAGGTCATTTTAGTTTTTCGTCAATAACTCTTGATCAAATTGAGCTAGCGAGTCGGGAAAGCCACCAATGGACTCAGGAAGGCCTGCCGAATCGAATGATATGCGACATGACCTCTTTCGACCAACTTCGTGACCTTGGGTGCTGACCTGACCTTGACCTGAGGTCAACACACCAAGTTGACCTGACCCGGACAAAAAGTATATCATTCGACGCGCCTGGACGAGGCAAACACGATGCTGCCAAAATCGGCGCTCTGCGGCCATTTTTTGCGAAGTTATTCACCAAAAACTGAACCGTACCTTGGGGCACTTGACCTGACCTCAGAGGCAGGGCTGCGGAGTCGATGGATTTTCGGCGACTCCGACTCCGACTCCGACTCCGACTTTAAAAAACCAGCTCCGACTCCGACTCCGACTCCGGGCAGAATTGTCGACTCCGACCGACTCCAACTCCCGACTCCGACTCCGCAGACCTAGCAGGGCTGCGGAGTCGACAGATTTTCGGTGACTCCGACTCCGACTCCGGCTCGGGTTTCTAAAATCGACTCCGACTCCGACTCCGACTCCGGTCACAACTGTCGACTCCGACCGACTCCGACTCCGACTCCGACTCCGACTCCGCAGCCCTGCTCAGAGGTCACCGGTTGACCTAGGATCTTAAAATCGGGTACCAATCTCTGCGTCTCGTAACGGCGCACACGCTCGTTTTTTCCGCGACGCGCTAGCTCCACCAGGGGCGAAACGGCGAGGGGGGGTCGTACCCGCTCCCCCCCCCCTCGGCCGGCGCGTATGTAGAAAACCAATAGGTCCGGCGAGGGTTAAGTTAGGGGGGCAAGCAGCCCCCACTGCCCCCCCCCCCGGTTCCCGCGCCCATGGCGTTGCAAATGGTCCCAAAGGAAAGAACGTTTTAAAATGCAGGTGGGTCATTTTTCCGATGTTTTATTTAAGGGACCCTTGTCCCTTAAAAAGATCAAAACCCTAAAAAATGACAGTGTACCTTTTTCCGGGAAAACGGTGCATTGCACGGCGTTGCAAATGGTCCCATATGAAAGAACGCCCTAAAATGCAAGTGAATCTTTTTTTCGATTTCTTATTTATGGGGCCCTTGTCCCTTAAAAAATCAAAAACCCTATCTCGATCAGGGGCAGAACGACAGGGGTCCAACCGACTCCCCCTCTCAAAACGTTAGACGCTGCAAAACGCCTCACACAGACGAGGGTTAAATCATTCATGGGTATATCGGAGCCTGGAGGGACGTCCCCCGGGCTTACTCGACTGAGGGGGTGGGGCATCCCGGCCGTCCACCTCCCTTCCCGGTTTCGGCGCCCACGCGTGGCAGGCCCGGTGTGGTGCGCTCGGCCGCGCGCTCTGGCGGACGGCGGTAGGGCGGCCTCCGCGGCCTCCGCGCCCCCGCGCAGAGCACACTCGGCGCCAAGCGCCCGCCGCGTGAGCACTGGCCAGCAGCCGAGCCGGCACCATGCACGAGCTGCACGTGCACGACGTGCTGGGGAGGAAGGCGGCCGGCCACGAGCTGACCGCCAAGGAGATCGAGCTCTTCGTGGAGCGAGTCTCCCGAGAGGAGATCGACCGACTGCAGCTAGGTGAGACAGCGGACCAATCAGATTATCAGACCAACCAGCCGACCAGTCAGCTCAGACCAGACCAGGCCGGCGGACTGGTCAGACCAGGCCGGCGGACCGGTCAGACTAGGCCAGAGGACTGGTCAGACCGGACCAGTAGACCGATTAGACCAGACCAGTGTGGACCGGTCAGGCCAGTCTAGCGGAGCGGTCAGACCAGCCCACACAGACATACAGATGCGGATATGAGGCAGAAGAACTAAAGAATTAGCAAGCAGTGCGATATTTTCAGGCACGTATCCAGGATTTTGCTCGGGGGGGGGGGCGACAGCCGAGAAGGGCCCGGAGGTCAGCTCAAAGGGGCCCCACAGCGACTGCCCTGGTGTGAAAAAAAATCGAGCGAAAAAACAATAAATTTACGATAGAATTCGGCATATTGTAAAAGAAAATGCACTTTCTTGCGTTTGTCGACCTTGATAAAATTTTCGCAGTTAACTTCAGTTGAAGATCGTAAACGTTTTTGCAATTCACTTCATTTGAAGTTCGTTAGCCCACGCCGTGCTGGGGGAGCGTTTTCACGCCCCCCCCCAGGTTTTTCGTGAATAGGCATATTTTTGTACACCTATTCATACTTTTTCCGCACATGCTGTGAAAATTTCAGACCTACGTGACCTTGCCTCTGAAAAAAAGTTCCAAGACTTGTTAATCTAAACCCTCTAAAACATCGGTTCATAGGCAAATATGACGCACTGAATCGGAACTTTGCACCTGTGATCCCTCTGTGTACCTACCCCGAGGTCATCTCAGGTCGTGAAAGGTCACCAGCAGTTTTTTTTTTACTATAACCTTTGATAGAAACGTGCTAGAGCGGTGAAAACACGTCAGCTGTGTTTAGCTCGACGATACGGATCGACTGATGTGCAAGATGACCCTTTCCGGTCCGGTCATGACCTTGGGTCAACGTATAACTCATTCGACGTGTCTCGACGAGAGGAACACGATGCTGGCAAAAGCTATGCATGGCTCTTTTGAGGAAAAAGTTATTGCCGAAAAAAGTTCGTTAAAGCGGCTATTTCTACTATATTTCTAGAGTTTTTGCCCTCTGTAGGCTATTGTTCAGTATTGTAAGACATGTTTATAAAGTCTGATGGCCAAGAGTTGCGAACGAAAATTATAATTAAAATCTAAATCTTTTTGTATTTCAGACGTTTCGACAACACTGTGTCATCGTCAGTAATTGATATAAAATGTTTCCTGAAGTCACAAAGTCACAAATATCAATTACTGACGATGACACAGTGTTGTCGAAACGTCTGAAATACAAAAAGATTTAGATTTTAATTATAATTTTCGTTCGCAACTCTTGGCCATCAGACTCTGTAGGCTATACCGTTGACTTGAGGTTAAATCTGAGAAAACTAAGAGGGGTCTGTACAAGGGCTATCGAATGCGGTTTTCCGCAGCGCTGTAGCTCTATTGGTTTCCAAGTTAGTCCTTGGGTGTTTCGAAATTGTTGAACAAGACAAAATTTGACATTTGATGGCCTCTGGTGACCCGACCTTTGCCCTGACCTTAAGAATGATTGGAGCATTTCCGCCATTATTTTTGACGCTCTTTTGATTGTCGCTTATCGCGTGTCGCTACGTGGCCCAGGAGCCGAGTTAGACGGGGCACGTGAAAACGCCCCAACCCCTAGCACGACACGGAAAACTCAGGTCACAAGTACGGCGCGGGTTAACATTATGAACATCAGTGATGAGTTATTAATCTTGTATTACCTCTTTGCACCCCACTAACATTGGCACACGATATTTGTCAGACACATTTCCATATACCTATTTATAATATTGTATATTCTTCTGGCTCTCTCTCATTACAATTTGGGCATAACACCATTAAAGCACCTTTCTGCACTCATTGGTGCGTTTATGTAAGTGGCCCGTCCGGCAAAGCCAGGACAGGGCTCACGGGCCAAACGTCCCGGCCCGGGGAGAGCTGGGGGATACCTCCCGGCTCCCCGGCCGGGGAGGTCTGGGCTGCATTGTTCACCCATTCACCCATTGTGTTGCATTGTTGACGCTAGCATATTGCTTATTCTTGTCAGTTTAACTGCGAAATCAGTTCAATGAGCAGCTCAAAGAAAAAACATTTGAACTGGAAATGATACGTTACGTTCTGTACAGGGTGCTTATAGTAGTACGAACTATGGAGCTCATTTTGTTTGGAAAGTTGCCGCAAGTTTAAAGCAGGAGCATCCCCACGAGGTCAGTCGAAAGGGGCCCATCATCGGCTGTTGCCCGTTCCTCGGGCCCGATGGCCTGAGCAAGGCCTTCTCAGCGCGCACTTTCGTTTCTGGGGCACGGCCAGGACAAGCTGTTCCTGAGACTGGGCCCGGAAGCGTATATCTGGGCCCGTTTTCTTGATACTTTATCGAGGCCAAGGGCCCATTCCTTAAGCTCACAAGCCTGGTTCAAGGCCTTCTGAGAGGGCCCTTCCGCTTTTGGAGATCTCCTGGGCCCCAGGTTGTCATTGGTTTGGCCTGGTCGCTTTTGGGGCCCGGCCAGGGACCGGCATGGGCACCAGCAAGGCCCCATGGGACCCTATTTTGGACCCGAAAGCCTGAGCAAAATTTTCTCAGCGGGCCCTTCCATTTCTGGGGCCCGGACAGGCCAAGATGTGTCTGTGACTGGGCCCGGAAAGCATTTTTTCGGATCCGCTTTCCATAACTTCTCCATGACCCTTGGGCTTCTCCATGGCTCAAAAGCGGGATCTTCGGGCCCGAGAAGGGTTTGGGGCCCAAAATCGATAAGGTTTGGGGCCCGGCAGGGCTTTAGGGCCCTTCCTCAAGCCCGAAAGCTCGAGCATCTTCTGAACGAATCCTTCCGCTTTTGGGGCCCTGCCGGGCTCCAAATTGCCCTGGCTCTGCCCAAAAGTGGGGCCGAAGGGCTCAATTACGGACCAGTTTGTGGCCCGGCAGGGCCCAGGGGCCCGTCACTGAGCCTGAAGGCTCGAACAAATCCTTCTGAACAGGCCCTTCCGCTTTTTGGCCCTGCCGGCTCCAAACTATCCCTGGCTAGGCCCAAAAGCGGGCCCTTCGGGTCCGCTTTCGGGCTCTAAGGGAGCCTAAAGGTTAATATCAAACTGCCTTAGAGTATAAAATCCTCGGAAATTTAATATTGGAGAAGATTGGTAGACACCCGCTGACGTCAGCTGTCAAGGTCACCGATGTAAACAAACGGCTAACCATTCTACCTCCTATATACGGCCTTGGGTGTGCTGAGGTGCAAGGTGTGCTTGCTGTGCGCGTGCAAACCTTTTAATGTTGCACTTCGTGTCACGTATGTGGGTAGAACGGGTAGCGCTGGCAAGTTCAAGGTGTCAAATTTACACAGGCCACACAGAATACATTGCGGCCACGTCTGAATATATCCATCTCCTGGTGGACCCCAAAAGTGCATTCTGCGCGTGCAAAAAAAAAACCGCGCCGGGCGGTGGGGATGTTAGCCGTAAGGGACACCCCATGTGGATTTATGTAAATATCTCAAAAACGGCGTTGCGGAGCGCCGCCGCTTTCGGCACACCTTTTTATATATATTTTCCACACATGCTGCACAACTTTCAAACCCAGGTCACTCAAGGCTAGGTCACCAGGAGGTCAACAAGGTTAAAGGAGATAATATCGCATATCAGTTAAAGGAGGTCATATCGCATATCGTTCGATTCGACAGGCATTCCCGAGTCCTATAAGCTATAAGGCTATAAGCGAGTAGCGACTAAACTTGAGACGTTTCCAACAAGGTTTAAGTCATTCATGTTATTTGATATTCCTTAGGTACTACATACTTGATGCATTTGGAGGAATACAAAACCAGAATACATAAAAGTGCATTAACTGAACATCATTGAAATATTTGCAAACCCAGCAACGCAAATTTACGTTATAATCGCCGGCCAGCGCAACATACCTATCTTTGTTTCCACGTTGTTTGCGCCTGCAGTGATGCTGTACCGCAATAACCATTACCTTCATCTTTCACCCATAGATGGCAGTAGCAGAGCGCCTGCATCTATGCTGTGCCGCAATGCTCTTACAATGCGAAATAAGCTGGCGCGGTTGCTGTGATTGAAGATCACTGAACTTGATTCACTTTTTTGGAGTTGTATATGTTTCCAGGATAGATTATAGTGGATTTCAAACTTAGCATCTATTTGAATATTTAAGAAGTAGTTTGTGTACCTAGCCTATGTGAATTTGTCATTTGAGTGTATTGTTTAGTAAGTACCTACGGCTGAGTTTCGTACAAGAGGAGCGCAGTTCAATTTTCTCCCATTGGCTTACCTATAATAGAAAGGTCGCAAAATTAACATACCTACCCCTAGGCCAATGATATTTAAATTCCGATGTATCCGTTATGTACCTAAGGGTGCTCTTATGAATCGCTGGACGTTTTAAACCGATTATTTAGTCGTGTAGCAATGACGGGCATTATAACTTTTTCTGTGTGTTATTACGGAGCGAGCGAAGCGAGCGTAGTCTTTCCTTAGATTAACGGAAATTTCTGAGTATGAGCGGCCGGCCGGCCGGCCGTGCGGACGCTTTTGCGAGGCTTATATCTCAGCAACCACTTGACCGATTTACACGGGGTGATTTTTGTAGGGTAGCTTCATTCCTTCTACCAAGTATTGGACTATTCCCGATGCATGTGGGTGACCCCTTATGCACGTGCCACGCGCAAAACGAAGAGGTGTCAGTTTTGTAATTGTTGCAATATCTCGGTAACTACTTGGCCGATTGCGCTGAAAGTTGGCATGTAGGTAGGCACCCACTAGGCACTGCATATCCATGTGCCAGAGTTGGGGTGCTGCTGCACGTGCGCACGTGCAGGAGGCGTTTCCAGATCTCGAGAACGGCTGGACCGATGGCGTCCAAATTTGGTACACGGTTAGGGACCAGTTAGTAGGGTGCCGTGCACAAGTCAGTTGGGACCCATGCTGCACGTGCGCACGTGCAGGGTGCCGCT